TTGTAAAAGCAATCCTGCAGCTAATTAGCCACTAGGATTGCTTTTACATGCAAGCTGATCGCCGGCTGAAAAAACAATACCAGGATGATGCCTGCAGCTGTAGGCATCATCCTGGTATAACCATTCAAAGTCTAGTGATGTACCAGTACCTCGGTTTACGAATTGAATTAGTTATGCAAGACATTTCATATAGCGGAAAATTTGTAAACCGAAACACTGTTTCCCATAGGAATGCATTGAAAACCAATTAAACGCTACTAAAATACCGCATGAGTTATTGTATTAACTCATGCAGTACTTTAGTAGTGACAACCATGTGTTAATGTTTCATCTGTCAGCGGGGTTCCTCACTGACAGATGAATGTAAAAGAATTGCTGACAATTGAAAAAAAAAATTTTAATTGCAGGCAATTCACTCAGCTGTCAGGTGCCAGTTTTTAAATGTAATTACCTTTTTTTTCCCCTTCACTATATAGTAGTTCAGAAATTCAGCAGTTACTTTCCCCCTCCAGCTGAAAGAGAGAACGTTTCTTTTAGTTTATTTCCCCAAGTTAAAAGATACAATGTTTCCCTTCAGTTTCTTAAAAGATACAAAGTATCTTTAGCTCTGGGAAACTGACAGCTAATGTTGTGAGCTATACTGAAGAAAAAAATAAAAGATGGCAATTGCATTTTAAAAATCAGCACGGACATACACTTGGTATTGTGAAAAAATAAACTGAGGCATTATTTTCAATGGATTTTCATTCGTAAAACTGAAAATTATACGTTAACAGAGGCATTCGTAAACCGAGGTATTACTGTATATGCTATGTTCTTTTTTTTGTATGCAGCCTGTGGACTGAATGAAAAAAAGAGAAGAAATCTGCCAGAAAAAAGTGTGTGGTATGCCCACCATTAGAATATACTGCCCTGCATCCACCCACTTCTAATGGTGGGCACACATTAGGTCACACTTTGCCACAAGTGCCAGTTCAAAGATTGTACAAATGTCTAAATAGTGGCACGCTTGAATAAAAATTGTCCACGTATAAGTAGTACCCCATATGGAGAAGGATGACACCAAGTCCCAAACCATCTTGCGATGGCTCCCCATGTAGTCTGGGCATCTGGGGGTCTCCACGTGACTATCTTTTCCCTCGTAAATCCGAACAATACTTGTGCTCACCACCGCACCAGCTTGTACTGCACTTATGGGACTTGCCACGTCACCAAGTCATACTGCAGTGCTGGTATTATTATTATTATTATTATACAGGATTTATATGGTGCCAACAGTTTGCTCAGCATTTTACAATATACCGGGAGACAATACAGCAACAATACAGTTCAATACAAGAGGGATAGGAGGGCCCTGATCCTGGGAGCTTATAATCTAAGAGGTATGTAAAAGACCAGGATGTACTAGACCGCTGGTACTCGCCAGTTCACCAAAAGGTAGCGTGGCACTAGTACTGGCACTCTGCTGCATATGAGAGTCATCAAAATGTTCCGACAAGTTCTAACAGAGATCAGGCCTGATTCTGCCAACACTGCGGTTTTGTGTGCAATAGATCAAGTGACAGTGACCTACTGACACTGCACTTGCTGGGGGAGAAGGGGGGGTAAGCGTAGCGGGGCTAAACGCAGGTGCTGGCAGGTGCCGGGGCTGATCCCGCTAACGCTGCATTTTTGGGGACGCTATACTAATGTGAACGCTGGTATAGTGCTGATCTGATCAAAGATATTGATCCGTTCAGTCACTATACTAGCAATGGAGGTTCATTGTGTATGAGCGTGTTCCTGGCAAGCAAGGGGTTAAATGTGATGACTGGTGTACTGACGGGCAATCTGACGCTATCAGGGAGGGGCATGAAAACCACGGGAGCTCCAATCACGTATATATATACACATGTGATTTTGCGCACCTGTGCCACCTTGTAGCAGTATTTCTGCTATAGGGGCGGTCAGGAAGCAGTTACATTAACTGCGTTACTTTAACTGACAATTGCGCGGTCATACAACGCTGCACCAAAATTAAATTTACATCTTTTTTTCCCCACAAATTGAGCTTTCTTTTGATGGTATCTAATCGCCTGTGCGTTTTTTTATTTTTCGCGCTATAAAAAAACCTGACAATTTTGAGAAAATAAAGTATTTTGGACTTTTTGCTATAAAACATGTCCAGTAAAAAAAATTAAAAATCAAATTTTGTCATAAATTTGAGCCAAAATTTATTCTGCTTTGTGTCTTCGCTAAAAAAAATCCCAATATGTGTAAAGTAGTTAAAGTTATAGTGTCTACAAATGGCGGTATAGGTACTGGATTTTTAATTTTTTTTTTTTATACTAATAATGACGGCGATCAGCGACTTATGGCAGGACTGAGGTGGACATTCTGACACTGGGGGGGAACTGACTTGGGGTCACTGACATCCCCAGTGACACCAATACAGTGATCAGTGCAAAAAAAAAAAAAACACTGACACTGTACTAATGGCACAGGGGAGGAAGGGGTAAATTTTTTTAGGCAATCAAAGGGTTAACTGTGTGAGGAGAGTGTTTTACTAGTGGGCGGGGGGGTGTACTTCACTGTTGTATGCTGTCCCGGAAATCTAATCTCTGCTCTCCGTGACAGTGAGCTGGGAACTGACATTGAAAACAATGCAGTTGTGCTCTGTGTCACGGGTAATGACCGGCCGGGACCCGGTGATTGGACCTGCGGCCGCAATCGGCGGCAACGGGTAGGGCGGTCGCCAGGGGTGTATTTACCACAAAGCAAACAAGGCATTTGCCTAAGGCGTCATTTTTCGGGGGGGGGGGGGGCAGCACCACCCCTGAAGAAGGGACAGAAGAAGGGACACACACAGAATGGGGACCAGGTGGGATCTGAGAGAGGCTGCGGGCTGCTTGATGGTGTATGCAGAGCCTGAATCTCATTCCAGGGGATGTCTGGATCTGTGAAGGTAAGTGTCTTTCTATCTCTCGCTGGTGATTGGTGGCCGGTGTATGGAGGGTGGTGGTAGTGGAAGGCTCTCTCGGGTGGGGGGAGGTGTGTGCTGGCTGGTGTCAGGCTCTCTCTGCAGGGGGGGGGGGGAGGTTGGTGCAGCCAATGTTTTGTGTTGCCTAGGGCAGCACAGAACCTAAATACACCACTGGCGATCATGTGCCTCGCGCGCGCCCCCTACCTGTTTTGCAAACTGACGTTTTAAAACGTGATTTTGCGCAGTGGTGCCGCCTCGTTGCCGTATATGTACAGTGGGTGGTCGGCAACCGGTTAATCTGGATATCCCCTAGATAACACAAATCGATCACAGAACGAAGGAAGTCCCCTTTTGGACTAGCATAGAGGCAGCTGATTGTGACCCCATGGCCATTGACAACCTAATCTGGCTAGCTCCTAAAGATTACAAATCGATCACTAATCCTACTACACTCCATAAACTGACACTATGGGACAGATTGAACCGTACCGGTTGCAATCCCCACACAACCCGCCTCTGTCCTTGTTTATGTCTCCCATCTTTTTATCCTGCTCAAGTAGCTCCTGTTTCCTTTTTCCACTGGATCTCATTAGGTATCAAGAGTTTGTATCACCTTGCTTTGAACTCCGCACTTTACTCATTCGCCTCACTGCAGTTGAACCGGATATCGTATGTACTCTCCAGCGCCTCAGGATATGCACAGCCAAAAGGGAAGTCAAGGGTACCAGGACAGGGACAACCAAAGGAAATGCTTCAGGGGTGCAGCCCCCCTCAGACGGGGAAATCAGCCACTGGATAGAGAGAAAACAGGAGGAGCACACCCCTAGTGCATTATCCAAGGATTATTGTAAGGAGTGAAAGAATAATAAAAACAGACTCACAGATGAAGCGTGTATCTAAAAAGCATAGAAAATGACAATGGCCACAACGGCGGGCGAGGTGTTCTCACTGTCAGTGCGGTAAAATTACTGACGCGTTTCGGGGACGAATCCCTTTCCTCAGCGCTAATGACCAGCCTCTGATGCAGATGTATGATGAATGGAAAGTGGGAGCCTTGCTGGTGATGCAGCAGTTGAGAACTCCCGAATTCTGAGATATTTTATTCTCTAAATCTCACATTTCTCCTCAGCCTATGTTGGAAACCAAACTGATCTGCAATCCCAAACTATGTTTGGACACATTTGTATCTCAGATCCCTGAGCCCTGGAATTAATTTCCACATTCTATGCATATCTGACTATGCCACCTACCTGTGTTACCTCTATATGCACATTGTTGTGCAGACCTTAGCATCCAGCTGGACCCAGATGACTAGGCTGACATATGCCACTCTACTAAGTTCTCTACAGTAAATATATTGGCACTGGAAGTAAACTATAAGGTGCTTGCCAGATGGTTTCTTTTTACTCCAAAAATATTTTTATTAGAAAGTAAGGTTATAGCAGTATACATACAAATACGGATCACAGTCCGAACATAGACATATCATGTAGCATCCCGTTTCGCAAACGGGCCATGGGTTTAATGGAAGTACACATCTGGATGAAATATATCCTTAACCTCCCTGGCGGTCTGATTATTTCAGATTTTTTGGTGCTGAAAGCGGTACATTATTTTGCATGGAAATATGTATTTTTTTTTATTGTAGGCCTGTAATTCTTAGGAATAACTCACTGAAATCTGTCTGAACAAGAGTCTAGTAAACATCCCGGGGATGATAAAACTTGAAACACAAAATCATAAATTATAATTTAATAAATAATCATAAAAAATAATAATATAATAATAATAAATTTAATTCAATAATATAATCAAACCAAAAACACTGAAATGTGAAATATAGCGCCAAGTTCGCACATCGCTGAGCTCAGTCGCAGAATCGTTTTCAGTGTCTGATGAGGAATTTCCCCCACCAATCATTATCACTCAATTCTGCAAGTGGTTCTGATTTACTATCGCTGTTCTCTAGCCGGTCTAAAACCGCTTTTGACATAAAGGGACACTTTTTGGACGCCATGGACGTTTCTCAGTTTCCAGGCAGAAAGAACAGTAACAATGCAGGCAGGGCACCGGACAAAGCACTCGGGACAAAATGTATGTGAAATGTTTTGAAACAGGAATGTTTTACTATGTAATAATCATTTTAAAAAAAAAATTATTTTTTTTTTAAATTTCAAATTTGCCACCGGTTCCGGCGCCCGTACGTCCCGACGTCACAGGGACCGGAACACGGAAGCCGGATGCCGGCATCGGCTGGAGGAGATTGCAGGGGACGCATCGCGGGAGCGAAGGACAAGGTAAGTGCTGCAGGGACCCCCTGAGCAACGCCGCATGGTAAGCCCGAGTGTAGCTTGGGGGGGGGTTACCGCTTTTGGTACTGAAACTTTACCCCGAGCTACTCTTGGGAATACCGCCAGAGGGGTTAATGGCAAACCAGTAGATACAAAGAGTATAGTAGATAAATCGAAATGGGTATAAGGAGTACTGCCCTATGTACTGGTGAGCCCTTATGTTGGCCGAATGTGAAGTGTTGGGTAATGCTAGCACAGGATGACTTATATGACAAAATTTGTGTGTCCATTTCGGGAGTGTTTGAGCCATGTGAAAGAGATTAAATGCCATACTTGTTGGGAATATATGAATAATGAAGGCGTATAAAAAGCTTGAGATAAAGAAAAGTCAGAAAGAAGAATAGCTAGAGAAAGAGATGGAAATGTAGAGTGAGGCAGTGTGGTGGGGGGGGGGGGGGGGGGGGGGGGTAAGAAGAGAAAAGGGAAAAAAAGGGGGGGGGGGGATAGGGGGAATGGGTAGGGAGTAAAGGGGATGTTAAAGTGGATAGTTGTGGATAAAATAATTCACATCATTTTGTACGAGCCAACAAGACAGTCATATAGTTTAGGATGCAATACATGCAAGATCAGTCAAAAAGGCAGCACGTGAGTCAAGAATCCGAAATACAGACCACGATGCCAAGTCTCAGCCCATCCATACAGTTGCAAGAAAAAGTATGTGAACCCCTTGGGATTACGTGGAGTTTTGCATGAATTGGGCATAAAATGTGCTCTGAACGTCATCTAAGTCACAACAATAGAAGAACACAGTCTGCTGAACATAATACTACACAAACATTAGATGTTGCCATGGTTTAATTGCACATAACATGTAAACATTCACAGTGCAGGGAGGAAAAAGTATGTGAACCTTTGGACTTAATAACTGGTTGACCCTCCTTTGGCAGCAATAACCTCAACCAAACGTTTCCTGTAGTTGCAGATCAGACCTGCACAACGATCTGGAGTCATTTTGGACCACTCCTCTTCACAAAACTGTTTCAGTGTAGCAATATTCTTGGGATGTCTGGTGTGAATCGCTCTCTTAAGGTCATGCCACAGCATTTCAATCAGGTTGAGGTCAGGACTCTGACTGGGCCACTCCAGAAGGCGTATTCTGTGCTGTTGCAGCCATTGTTTTGTTGAATTACTTGTATGCTTTGGGTCATTGTCCTGTTGCATCACCCATCCTCTGCGGAGCTTCAGTTGGCGGACAGATGGTCGTACGTTTTCCTGCAAAATGTCTTGATAAACTCTGGAATTCATTTTCCCATCAATGACAACAATCCGTCCAGGCCCTGAGGCAGCAAAGCAGCCCAAACCATGATGCTCCCTCCGCCATGTTTCACAGTGGGGATGAGGTTTTGATGTTGGTGTGCTGCGCTTTTTTTTCTCCACACATAGTGTTTGTGTGTTCTTCCCAAACAACTCAATCTTGGTTTCATCTGTCCACAGTATATTTTGCCAGTAGTGCTGTGGAACATCCAAGTGCTCTTTTGCAAACTTCAAACGTGCTGCAATCTTCTTTTTGGACAGCAATGGCTTCCTCCGTGGTGTCCTCCCATGTACTCCATTCTTGTTTAATGTTTTCCTTATTGTAGATGTGTCAACGAAAATGTTAGAATGTGCCAGAGATTTCTGTAGGTCTTTAGCTGACACTCTGGGATTCTTCTTTACCTCATGCAGCATTCTGCGCTGTGCTCTTGCAGTCATTTTTACAGGACGACCACGCCTAGGGAGAGTAGCAACAGTGCTAAACTTTCTCCATTTGTAGACAGTCTGTCTTACCATGGACACATGAACATCAAGGCTTTTGGAGATACTTTTGTAACCCTTTCCAGCTTCATGCAAGTCAACAATTCTTGATGGTAGGTCTTCTGAGAGCTCTTTTCTGCGAGGCATGGTTCACATCAGACAGTGCTTCTTGAAACCAGTAAACCCAAAACAGGTGTGTGTTTTTTAAGGGCAGGACAGCTGTCAGCAACACATCCAATATCATCACACTGATTGGAGTCAAGGTTGGCTCACTCCTGGCTCCAATCAGCTCTGGGAGAAGTCATTAAGCTAGGGCCTCACATACTTTTTCCTCCCTGCACTGTGAATGTTTACATGTTATGTGCAATTAAACCATGGCAACATCTAATGTTTGTGTAGTATTATGTTCAGCAGACTGTTCTTCTATTGTTGTGACTTAGATGACATTCAGAGCACATTTTATGCCCAATTCATGCAAAACTCCACGTAATCCCAAGGGGTTCACACACTTTTTCTTGCAACTGTATATGCACCAAATGCATCTTCAGACGACATTCTCTAATACAGCATAGTCTAATCATTCAGTCAGGGGTATAGGCTGTTCATGAACTAAGAGGCGATAGGTAGTGGTGGTTTTGAAATGGCTCCAACAAGCCCAAGTCTTCCTGAATCTCTCGGGATGTTCTTTTGCTACAGAAATCAATTCCTCCATTTCCTCTGTTTTGTTGATGCCAGATTGTTCTTAGTCTCTGCAAAGGTTGCTAAAATCCTCCCAACATACTCCCCATATTGCTCTCAGTGTTGCACAGATACAGGAACCCATATGCATATCTGGTGATCTTGCCCTGTTGTGAAATCTTTCTGGACTGAGGTGTTTAGTACGCTGTCTATACTTGCTATTGTGACTCTGGCATCAGATCCTGCTTTAGCGCTTCTCAACAAAAGGCCTCCTGAAATAACTCTTTCACAGTTTCATGTATTATTATACATCACCACCACCTCAAAACAAACCATAACCAAGGTATGGACAATGCCCAAACTGTGTCTCCTTGAGGTGAAGCATATGATAATGCAATCCACTCTGCTTGACCTGGTACCTAGTCATATGGACATTTGGCAACTATGGATGGACATCTTTTTACCATGGAATTTGGTGACTGCTGGAACCCTAACTATACCAGCTCTAATATGACTCTAATGTGTGAAGGAGCACCTCTGATGTGTGATGGGAAGTCCTGATGTGTAAGGGGGGCTCTGACATGTGATAGGGACTCTTATGTGTAAGGGGAGACGCTGATGTGAAGGGGGGCATATGAGAGCCATCATGACTCTGATCTTGCCCTGCTGAGTGTAGAAAGAGATGAGTTGATATTATGGTAAAACCATCTCTGGGTGTCAGATGTTTGGACAGGGGTGCAATTTCAATGCTTGCCATAGGATCTTCTGTCCGTGTTTGTGTCTTTTTATATATTCCATTCTACACAATGTCTATATTTCTATAATAACAACTCATTTAATTATTTCACAACATATTATCTAGGTCAGTTTTCGACCCACCGACCCACACCTAAGCGATAGAAAAATGTATCCAACTTTCTTCCGTATGACACCAGATGATCGGGTCCGTTTTGCATCCATCGTAAAACTTTTACAGCATTTTGGGTGGAACTGGGTTGGAGTATTAACAACATGGGATGGCAGTGGTGATGATGAGTCCAGAGAACTGAGTAAGATGATGAGCCAACATGGGATCTGCACAGATTATGTCCTTCAACTCCCTGCTCTGGCTAAAGATCTTACTCGGGTAATAAAGACTGTTAGTGAATCAGCAGCTAAAGTCATCGTAGTATGTGGAACCTACACAACAAACTTTTTTAGTTTTATTTTACGTATACCCTCTGTAATACAAACAATCACATTCATTTTCCCACCGCCATGGAGTAGACTAGGAAGTATCGAAAATTCGTTCCATCCATTAATCAACTGCAGCTTTGTTTTTCTTTGGCAGCAAGAAAAAACACCAAACTTTGAGCGTTATGCTGATGGTGTCAACTTCTCCAGCTGCTTACATGACCCAATACTGCAAGATGTGTGGGGCTGTGTGACTATTACTGCCTTTCCCCAAACACAGTCAAAAACTTCCATTTACAATCATTTCATCGCTTTTCTGCAAAACTTTGTAGAGATGTAAAAAATGTTTCAATCGTATTTAATGCTTATTCAGCAATTCTCTCCTATGCCTACAAGACTGTACATGTTCTGGCTCATGCTCTACATGGAATGTACATGAATACACATATATCTGAACAAAATGGATTCCAGCACAGAGTAAGTTGGATAATAAGTGTTTAAATTACTATGAACCTATCCTAAATTATATAATAATTATGTGACAGAAAAACTCAGGCGCTGAGATGGACAGCTATCTTCACCCCCTTCCGTCCCATTTCCTGGGTAATCGGGAAAACTGCTATCACCCACATTTTTGTTTCAAATATAAATGATCAAATATTATGGGTTTTTTCTGCCTTTATTTAATGTTTTTATATATGCTAAGAGACGCAGTCATACATTCCAGAATCATATACAGTTGTGTTCAAAATAATATCAGTGTGTTGAAAAAAGTGAATAAAGCTGAAAATCCTTCTAATCCTTTTATTTCCATCCACACAAATGCATTGGGAACACGACACATTCTATTCCAAATCACAACATGAAGAAAAATACATCAAATTTGTGTTGTTCCTCTAAAAAAATGGAAGAAAAAGTGAATATTAGACGGTTCAAAAAAATGGCCGTGTTTGTATTCTTCTTTACAAACTCAAACATTCACTATATAAACTGAGAAATGTTTGAAGATTTTGCTTTCCTTTGAATGACTTCATGAATATTTGGTTGTAGTCGCACTGTTTCTGAGAACTGCTGTACATCTGTGTTGCATGGAGTCCCCAACTTCTGGCCCCTGTGATCAGGTATTCCAGCCCAGGATGATTGGACCACATTCCACAGTTCTTCTCTATTTCTTGGTTTTGCCTCAGAAACTGCATTTTTGATGTCACCCCACAAGGTTTTCTATTGGATTAAGATCCGGGGATTGGGCTGGCCACTACATAGCGTCCATCTTGTTGGTCTGGAACCAAGATGTTGCACGTTTACTGGTGTGTTTGGGGTCGTTGTCTTGTTGGAACACCCATTTCAAGGGCATTTCCTCTTCAGCATAAGGCAGCATGACCTCTTCAAGTATTCTGATGTATTCAAACTGATCCATGATCCCTGGTATGCGATAAATAGGCCCAAC